GATGGAGCCTGTGTAAAGCCAAAATGTATGCAGTGCATGGCATCCAGAATCATGGGGAGTAATGTAAGAACATAAGAAATAGAAATAAGAGTAGGCCCTTCAGCCCATTCAATCTGCCAGTCAATGAGATCATGACTGATCTACTGTTTCAATGCCATTTTCCTGCATTATCCTGCTATCCTTGGTTTTTTTTAGTATATAGAAATTTATTGATCTCTGTTTTGAACATACATGACTGAATGATTGAGCCTACAGCCCTCTGGGGCAGATAATTTCCAAGCCTTACCATACTCTGACTGACTCTTCCTTCACATCTACGTCTTAAGTGATGTATCCCTTATTCTGAGACTGTTTCCCCTGGTTCTAGCTCCTCCCAAGTTGAGGAAACATTTTTATTGTCAATCCCTGTGAGAATTGTGCATATTTGAATGATGTCACCTTTCATTCTTCTAAACTCCCATGAATAAAGGCCCAGTCCATTTAATCTTCCTAATCCCTCCATCCCAGAAATGAGTTTAGTGAATCTGGGTTGCAGTCCCTCTATAGCAAGTATATCTTTTCATAGGTAAGGAGATCAAAACTGAACACTCTAGGTGTAATAGTCCACATGTAGTCTCACCAAAGCTCCAAATAATTGTGGTAAGACATTTTTATTCCTACACAATTGCTGCCCAATGCTCTGATCCTAGATAAGGCACTGGGTTGGATGGCTGTCTCTGACCATTGTGTGGTGCTGTGGCCATCTCTATCAGTCCTCCAGCAAGTGGATGACCCTCCTCTGCACCATCCCATTAACCAAGACTTCCAGGTTTCTGTTGGTGAACCTTAGTGCCAACATGCCCTTGTCAACTATCACCAGTAAGGAGCAGGACAGATGCCAGAGTACTATGGGCTCTTGAAGTTGGCACAGCCACAAGGATGCTGGTTTTATGGCAGATATCCGTTGAGTGACAAGTTTTTCTGGGAACAGCATGAGCTAAGGTGACACAGAGATACTTGCCATTGGGTTGGCAATGGCAACTAAACCAATGGATCTGGTAAGATACAGCAAGAAAACTCATCCTTGCACTAAGTCTCATTTCACCAAACTTGACACCGTTCATACTTAAGCAGAAAAACCTAAAATTCTGCCCATCACTTCTAAGATGTGCAATCCAGATATCATGAAAGTTGATCACCGCCTGTCCTGTTTAATGTAACGTGCGCACAGAGAAACTTAAAGGTACTGTACATTGAAATGAGCAACAAAGAATTTTAGAGAAAGAGTTGCTAAGCTGGCAGCGTATCATCTGTATACAAATGTCATCCATGTTTCAGGTCAAAGATATTTCATCAGAACTTAAGACTGTTATCCAAAGATTCTAATTTATATGTTATTCAGAATGTAATGGATTGCTAGATAGAGCAGTGCAGATAAAGGCCCTAGAATCATTTAAGAAAGAAGATCCTGTTTTGTGAGGGGGAGAAAGATGAACTGGATGAATGAACTAAGATAGTCTGTACTGTTATTTTTATCTGGGATTATGTAGAAGAAGGAAATAAAAAAGCCAAGAAAATTTTAGAGCAATGATGTGACAAAAGCAAGAAGACGGTGGAAGTTGTTTGCTCTATCTGCATGTTAACTTTCTTCTATTTCCATCATGACTCTGAACACCAACATTTCCTACTCTGTCACCATTTTTAAAAAATCTGCTTTTATATTTTTCCTGTTAAAGAGGATAACTTCATACTTCCCCAATCTATTTTTCATATGCCACTTTATTGCCCAGTCAATCACCCACCTATATCCATTTATAGCCCCTTTGTGTCTAATATGCACCTTATTTTTTTTATCATTGGCATGCTTGGATGCATTATACTCACTCCCCTCATTGATACAGGCAGCAGACAGCTGAAACTCAAGCATTCATCCTTGTAGTACTCAAATAATTACAAACTGCCTACATGAAAATTATCCATTTGTTACTTCTCTCTGTTTTCTGTTCATTGACCAATCTAATTTACTTTCCCCAACCTCATGTATCCTACTTTGGGTAATTAACACTTAACTGGCATTTTATTGAATACTTTTTATTTTAAAAATATCCATATATACTAGAGCCACTGAGTACCTGTTATTCACCTCACTTGTTATATCCTCAAAAAATATAGATCTCTTAAATTTAATTTCTCTTCCATAAATCCATGTTAACTCAGCTCAATCACATTATAAATTTTTGGGTGCGTAATTACCATGTCTCTAATAACAGATTTGAGCAACTTCCTTACAACTGATGTTACTAAGTGATCAGAAATTTCTGTTATGATTTTAGTTGATGGTAATATTGAACAAGTCAGATCCCAAAGTGAAACCTTACTTAATTAGACCATAAGTTTCATTTTTGCTCTTTGCGTACCATGGAGGTCAGTCACTGAACATATTGAAAAGAGGCTGCTAGTACACTTTGAAAAAAGAACACCAAAGTTTATTGCACCAAAAAAAATCACCATTTGAAATTGTCTTCTTGTAAATATCAGAAATCGAGATTCAACTCTTTTACTGTCAATAAAAGCCTTGCAGGTGGTCAATGCTCATGCAGGATTAATCTGTCAGCACTTTAAAGTACCTTGTTCTCTTGGCATGATTAAATTGATTTCTTTTTGGCAAATGTTTGCATTCCCTTGATGCTATCTTTAGTTAATGTTGCTTCCTGAGATACTTGAAAACCTGCTAACACAGTTCACTTTCTTAACATGTGTTCCTTAAACTCCTCTTCCATAGACATCTGTTTCTAGAGCTTTTCTCTTACTGACATCAAGCCACGTAGGACTTATTTTCTTCTGCCCTGACTGTTTTAGAGACAGCTAAAAAGGCACTGCTGCTTTTTCAGTCATTTTGTTTCTGAATGACCTGCCTATCTCTGAAAGAAGCCTACATACTGTCCCTGACCTTCTGGATAGTTTCCTCCCTGCCTCATAGAACACCTTGGACAACAACCATATTTTCTCTTCTACTCTTGTTTCTAATATACTGATCTGTTCAGCTCTAAGATTTTCTCTTTTTGTTTGGTCTGTCATGAAAATAGATACAAAGTACTTGCATAATATTGCAACTGTTTTCTTACTTTCATTATAATTTCTCCTGATGGACTAATGGGCTGACATTTATTTATGTCAATTTCTTCCCTTTATATATCAGTGGAATTGTTTACTGTCTGTTTTCATGTCTCCTGCTTGTCTGCTCTGATCTCTTTTATAAAATTAATTTCTTGAACGTTCACCTGCAAATTCTGTAATCTTCCTAACCATTTTGGTGTATTAAAAGCCTCCTTTTCAAACTAATACTAACATCTCTTGTACCCACAGATGGGTCATTTTTCCCATGGAGCCATTAGAATTAGAGTTAGGTTTTATTACCACATGTACTCAAGTACAGGGATACAGGAGTATAGTAAAAAGTTTACAAAGTTGCCATTCCTGGCATCACGTTAGGTACAAAGGTACCTAGGAGCAAAATCTTAAGTACAAAGTAGAAAAATACAAATCTAAGTTAAAAGTTCAACGTTACATTTCTTCTGCTTAGTATAACGCAGAAAAATAAAGAAATAAAGTTAAAAGTTCAGCATTGCAGCCCTTCGTTGGCCATGGGCCTCCAGATGTTCCACGTTGGACTTTCCCCATGATGGTCACCCTCCCCATTAGGGGTCAATTGCTCCCTTATGCTGGGCTTGATCTCCCAGGGATACAGCTGTTGAAAATTCTGCATTAATCAGTCATAGAGTCGCTGAGTCATACAGAGACCCTTCTGGACCAGTCCATGCCAAACATAATCCCAAACTAATCTAGTCCCATCTGCCTGCTCCTGGCCCATATCTCTCCAAATTTTTCCTACTCATGTACTTTTCTAAGTGTCTTTTAAACATTGTAATTGAGCCAACATCCACCACTTCCTCAGGAAGTTCATTCCACATGCAAACTACTCTCTGTGTGAAAAGAAAATTGCCTCTCAAGTCTTTTTTAAATATTTCTCCTCTCACCTTAAAAAAAATACAACCCCGAGTCTTGAAATCCCCCACCCTAGGGAAAATACACCTACCATTAACCCTATCTATACCTGTCGTAATTTTAGAAACTTCTATATGATCACCACTCAACCTCCTATGCTCAAGTGAAGTATTGAAAGATTTACCAATGGCATAACTATTGCCATTTATTAGTTTCTCAATTTATTGACACACCGATATGAATCTATGGCTATAACAGGTGAGGACTTAATGTTGGAACTGCATGTCCAGATTACAACTGTCCCACTTTAGAAATAAAACCAGTCTGACTCCAAACTAAAACACAAACAGGTTCTGAACAAGGTCTCACACATAACATACATTGTCTGACCTAAATTGTCACCTCTCCTTTCCACCGATAAAACGCTTAGTTCTCTCAGGACCGTGACTTGAAAGGCAATTGGGAATTTACATATTACATATTAATCAATTAAAACCTTCTAACTGATTAAAGATTTAACAGCATCTTAGGTTTGTTTAGTACGTCCTCATCAATGGTGTGAACCTTTGATCTTTTACGTATAAATTTTGTGTCTGAAACTACCTCTCTAACTAACACCTGAAGGAGGACTGAGGCTCCGAAAGTTTGTGCTTTCAAATAAAAACCTGTTGGACTATAACCTGGTGTCGTGAGTTCTGACTTTGTCCACCCCAGTCCAACACCGGCACCTCCACATCATGCTGGAAAAACTGAACTAAAAAGAAAACAGGGGGAAAAAAAAACACGGAGGAACTCAGTAGGTCAGCCAGCTTTATTGGAGAGAAACAGGACCTGTTGCAAACTTGAGGGGGGGGGGGAAACCCACAGCATTCTCCTCACCACCATGTGAATATTGCACTGATAGGGCTGATCTTGATTAGCTTCAGTGGCATTTAGTTGTTGTTTATAACTATCTTGGGACTGGAGTGTAGGTTTGGAGTAAAGTGCTCCTGACTCAGTCCTTGGGCAGACCTGACCAGTGTTACCCCCCGCCCATTATCTTTCTGTGTAGAAAGAGGCGGAGCCTCTGCTGTTTGTGCAATGTCTGGGGATCCGTTTCCTCTGCAACTGATTGATTTTGATACTTCCATTTATTCTGGTAACGGGCGACGACACGCACGTTTAACACTTGGGGATTTTGTATATTTCCATAGAGAGAACTCGCCCCGGGCTGTTTGACTGTATATCGGTCCAAAACCCTGGCGACGGGTTAAGTCAGGCCAAAAAAAAACACATTATATAAAAGCATCGGGTGCAGACCAAACCGATTGGGAAAACAAGTGCACGCAGCTCCCTGGCAGGAGGGGGGAGATGGACGGCGAGACGGCAGAGCTGAAGCAGACGGTGGAGATGTGGGAGGTGGCTGAGCTGCAGTCGGAAGAGCCGGAGGGCAGCGCCCCCCAGCTCCCGGCACAGGCGGCCTCCGCTCCGGGAGCACAGCCCGGCTCCCCCGTCCCCGAAGGCGGCTTCGGCTGGCTAGTGGTTTTCGCCAGCACCTGGTGCAACGGCTCCATTTTCGGCATCCAGAACTCGTTCGGGATTCTCTACGTGATGTTCCTGAAAGAGTTGGAGGCTCTCAATGAGCCGAGCATCCAGTTTAAAACTGGTGAGTGCCAATTGTCCAGGTCTTCAGGCAGTGCCACAGCTTCCCGTCCAACTTCCCCAGAAACCATTCCAACTCGGCAAAAGTTGCTGCATCCAAACGCTGTCTCTGCGATGTAAGACGTGATTAGCACGTTTTGTGCATCTTATTTGATTTGATTAATTATTGTCACGTGTACAGAGATACAGCGAAAAGTATGGTGTTGCCTACACTCCTGGCAAAGCATACTTTACACACTGCATCAGGGTAATAGAACAGAATGTAGTGTCACAGCTACAGAAAAGGTGCAGAGAAAGATCATCCCTGATATATGGGAGGTCCATCGTAAAGTCTAAGAAGCTGTATGTCATATGCAACATGTTACATGAAGAGCCGTATCTTACATTTAGCAGAAAGAATGATGTTTGTTGCAAACCAGTGGAGCTTTGTTTGTCTCCTTGTTGGGAGTTATGTCAAAGCTTAGTACTTGAACCAAACAGAAATCCTTTTGGAAATGATTTTGGAAGTGGTAGGTTTTCCTCAGTGAGATAATGAGAGAAAATGTAGGGAATACTCAGTTAAGTTAAGTAGCGTCTGGGGGGAAAAGCAGATGCCCTGGCTGCAGTGACAGGTTTCTGGTTGGTTTTCAGATTTCCAGTGCTTGCTTTAGTTGAGATGAGTGACTGAACTGTGCAACATTAGAACAAGTGAAACGTCGCAAATAAAAACAAAATTCAGGGAATACTGGAGACTTGAAACGCTGGCTTTATTTCTTTCCGCAAATGCTGTCAAATCTGTTCAGTTTCTCCAACATTCTGTGTGTGAAATAAAAGAGCCCTGGCAAAATTGAAGTGAATCAGGAACACAGCTGTTGGTTAGAGACCTAGCAGAAAGTAAGATGGTTGCATTGGTTGGGATCAGTCTTTTCAGCTTCTCAGGCTGAATATCTTCCTAATCAAAATGTTCAGAGATGTTATTACGCACCTCTGGAGCAGGTGGGACTTGAATCTGGGCCTCTTGGCTCAGAGGTAGGGACCCTGCCATTGTACTACAAGAACCCCAAGCTCTTCATAGTAGATACCTTTTGAATCAACCTGCTCAGAAATGTTTTACACACCTTTGGAGCAGATGGGCCCGGAACCCTAGTCACCCGGGCCAAAGGTTAGGGACACTACCTCTGCAGCAGAGGAGCCCTGATCCCCTCTAGATGATGTCCTAGACGCAACCATCCTCAGCTGCTTCATCAATGACCTTCCTTCATCATAAGGTCAGAGGTGGGGATGACCACTGATCTCTGCAGTTTTCTGTACCATGCTACCAGATTTGAGTTTCTCAAGCACTTGCTTTTTTTATAATAGTTGGTGTACAGCAAATATTTTGATATGATTTAAAGCTAATTTTTCTTTCAAAAAAGCCTTCACTAACTGAATGGACTAACTTTCAAGTCCTGAGGGTTTTGTGCCAGATGTTTGGAGTACTTTACGAATAATCCTATGTATTCAAGCTTGATGTGAATGGATGTCAATGATGTCAATGAAAAGATACCATAATTTGTTTTAGATTGATTCAACTCACCTATTTCAGTAGAAGGGTCATTAATTACAATGGTATCAACTGTCAAAATGAAGGGAGTTTTCCCTCTTACATTGTGCTGTATTTTATGTTCAAAGTTACTGTTTGCTTTGTGAGGCAGTGCTTTGCTGTACATTAACATTTAAAACTTATTTTAACATTTGCTGGAGATCTCTTCTGATCTTGATTCACATTAAAGAAGCAGGGAAGAATAACCATCTGTGTTCTTGCATAGACAGACTCTCAATGTTTCAGTAAGATTGCTGAAGTAAATATATCCAATTTGCCAAACCAAATAGATGAAACTTAGTTGTCAGTTTCTGAAGAGTGGCTGTTCTTCATAACCCCTGATGCATATAAATGTACTTTAATCTTTAGGGAGAATTGGCTCCTCTACCTGAAACATTATGTGAATTCTGTGTACGTAATGCTGTCATAGAAAACCATTTTGATAACTTCTTAAACTCGTTCATGGGATGTAGGCATCGCTGACTGGGCCAAAGTTTAAAGTTGCCCTTGAGAAAGTGGAAGTGAGCTGCCTTGAACTGCTGCAGTCCACCTGATGTAGGTACACCCACGTGCTGGGTTTGTGGGAGGGAGTTCCAAAATTTTGACCCAGCGAGGCTGAAGGAATTGTAATATATTTCCAAGTCAGTATGGTGAATGGCTTAGAGGGGACCTTGCAGGTGGTGGTGTTCCTAAGTTTCTGCTGCCCTTGTCCTTTTGGGTGGTAGAGGTTGTAAATTTGGAAGGTACTGTCTAAGGACTGTTGGTAAGTGGTTGCAGTGCATCTTGTAGATGATACACATTGCTGCCACTGTGCATTGGGGTTGGTGGCAGTGAACGTTGAAGCTGTTAGTTGGGTGCCAAATAAGCAGACCGCTTTGTCCTGGATAGTGTCGAGCTTCATAGTGTTGCTTGAGTTGTACTCATCCAGGCAAGTGGAGAGTCTCCCATCACATTCCTGACTTGTGCTTTGTAGATCTTGGGCGGGCTTTGGGAAATCAAGAGGTGAGTTAGTTGCTGCAGTATTCCTAGCCTCTGACCTGCTCTTGTAGCCACAATACTTATGTGACTGGTCCAGTTCAGTTTCTCATCAGTGGTAACCCCAGATGTTGATAGTGTGGGATTCAACAATGGTGATGTCATTGAATTTTAAGATGAGGAGCATGCTTGAATCTTCTCTTGTTGGAAATAGTCATTGCCTGGTGTTTGTGTGGCATAAATGTTACATGGCACTTACCAGCCCAGGCCCAAATATTGTCTAGGTCTTGCTGAGGCATTGTGAATGGTGCTGAACCATCTAATTTTCTTACTAGCTACGTGGTCTTTCGAGACCTGTGCGGGGCATTGACTTCCAGAACCAGAAGTCAGCGTCATAATCGGTGTGCCGAGGTGACTGCCACACGTAGAACGTTGGAGCAGCTGTGCACACATGCAGCTTAGTGGGAATGTCGGTGCTGAACATTGTGCAATCATCATCAATATCTACACCTCTGATCTTGTACTGGAGGGGAGCTCATTAATGAAGCATCTGACAATGACTGGGCTGGGGTCACTACACTGAGGAACTCCTGTGAAGATGTCCTGAAGCTGAGATGATTGATCTTCCCCACCCACAGCCATCTTCTTTTGTGCTAGGTATGACTCCTGCCTGATTCTCATTGGATTTAGTTTTCTAAGCGTTCTTGATGATATCATGGGTGCATTTGACCCAGTGTGCCAAGGGCAGCCACCCTCACTCATTTGAATATTTTCCAGTCTTAAAGGCTTAGTCAACCCCAAATAACGAAATGTAAAATGAGTCTATAATGCAGATCAACATATTGCATTGAATGTGCATGAACTGAGTGTTTAACTGTATGTGGGTGCACGTTAACTGTGCAAAACCAGGCTTTACTTCTGTTAGTTTTTTACATTTTCTTAATGTTATTATGATCCAACTAGAAAAACATGAGAGCTATAAAAAGATGTTAAAGCTGTATGTGTCTCCAGAGCTATTGATTGCAACCTCCTGGGTTAGTAGTACGTTTTGTTCATGTGTGGAAGAACCACTATCCTTCACCACTTGGTTTTACAGAGTAGAACAACAAATTGATGTTAAACTTAATTGGGTTGCACTAGTGTGGTGCAATTTAATTGGGTTGCACAAGTGTGGTGCTGTGTTGGATTCAGTCATAAAGACATGAGAATACTTTGACTTGTTCCATATTTTATCTGCAAATGTGTGGAATTGAATAATGGTGTAGAAAAGTATTTTCAATTGTAGCTCTGCAATTTTGTTGACCATTATAGCTTTAAAGTCACTTTGCTCATTGGAATAGCCTTCATCTGAGACTAAGTTATCTGTTGGATGAAACATTATGTCAAACTCCTATCTGCCTTCTCAAATGAACATGATATTTGAAGAAGACTGGAGTCACTCTCCTTGCTTCATGGCTTCTAACCTTCATTAAATGTAACTTAAATAGATTGTCTGGTCATCTGTGTGGACTTTGCATGTTCTCTCTGTGTCTGCATGGGTTTCCTCCGGGTGCTCCGGTTTCCTCCCACAGTCCAAAGATGTGCAGGTTAGGTGGATTGGCCAGGCTAAATTGAACTGTAATGTCCAGGGATGTGCTGGCTAGGTGGATTAGCCATGAGAAATACAGGGTTACAGGGGTAGAGTAGCGGGATGGGTCTAGGTGATTTCTATGGGTTCTTTTTGAGGGCCATGTTGTGTGCAGATTTGCTGCTGTATTTCCTTACATTGCAAACATTTCAATAGTTGGGTGCTACAAAGAATAATGCTTGGGTTTCAGTTATTTCCAATTATATCCATGATTTCGATAAAAGGACAAATTGTAATGTGTACAGGTTTGCTAATGATGTGAAACTGGTGGCAAAGTGAGAAGGAGGCAAAGGTGCACAGAGGACTGGAATAAGAGACAGAGTTAGAATTAATGCAAAATCAGGTGGTATCATTGAAAATACAGAGACTTTGATTTTGTGTACTTTTGAGTAAATCTAGAAAGTATGGTTGATAAGCTTAGTGAGCCCAGGAGCACTTAACCAAATGGCAATGTGATGCTGTTGTATGACTGAGACCAGGTTTAAAAAAAGGGAGATCCGGATCTTGATATTCTTGGGCACATAATATTCAAGAAAGATAAGGAAGGGAAAAATGAGTATGGGTAACATTTTGGTTAAGCAAAATATTACATTGTGAAAAACACAAAATATTATTGAGAGACCAAGGGCGGCATCAATTTGGTTAGAGTTAAGAAACAATAATGGAGCCACTATGTTGCTAAGTTTATTGTATAATACAAACAGATTTGCAAAGAAATTACGTAGCACTATAGCGTTGTGATAATGGGAGACCTTAACTATCTCAATCAATATTAAAGGAGCAGTGATGGTATGTAGGACAAAGATGGGTATACATTTTTGGTGTGCTTATGAGAATTGTT